ATATTGTTGAAATTGTTTGTTTGTTTGTAGATAAGCACAGAGCTATACAATGGGCTATCTGTGCTCTGCCCATCATGGGTATCGAAACCCGGTTTCTAGCTATGTAAGTCCGCAGACATATTGCTGTGCCACTGGGGGGGGGGGGTTGAAATTGAGTGATAGAGCTATTTATTCCTGAAGCAAGCTTATATTCAAGCACGTTCACGCCACTGATTGGAAACTTTATATCAGAGGTCTAAACTGTATCCCATTTTCGAATGAAAGTAAAAAAATATCAGATTGTGCACATTACAAATGACTTTCACGTCACTCCGTTTTGTTCACTATATAATTTGCCACTACCCTGGGATTATCACGTTCACAACAATTGCAATTAAGAGAGATCTATTTCAAGATTTTATTATAACCTAGATCGCCTATCAACCATGTCATAATTGACACCAAATGAAAAAGATACACATCTATAAACTTAGTTGTAGTAAAAGAAGTAGCATCTATAAAAACGTAGATTATAACGATTAGATCATTTTAGTCCTTTGAAATTTAACTACATCATTAGCATAATGATATTTGTCTACAGTCTGCACAAACACAAGTTAAGTTCTAAGCTAATGCAACCAGCGAAGGCCACGATGTGTTTACATACAAAGCTTTCGTTATAACCACATATTAATGTCACGTTTTTACTTGCTTTCACACGACTGATTAAATAAAGCTTAGTTTCTATCCCAATGTCAGTTGAAACAGTTTAAGGTGTAGTGATTAAATATCCAATCTTCTATCCCTAAAGTCACTAAAGCACTTAGAACATAAAGGAGGATATTCCAAGTGAATGTTTTGTAGATTCGGTCGTTTAATCCAATAATATCAAATTGACATGTTTTATGTTCGTAATGTTTACGAACTGCGTGTACTTGTAAATGTTGTCTTTTGCGTATACTTCCTGACCAGCATATTCTGATTTTTACTAAAAATAATATTTTTCTTAATAAAGTTTTGATTTAGCTGAATAACACTGCCGTTAAATCTATTTGGAAACTAATACAAATAGACGAAGCTGCAACTTGCCAAGTAAATGAACATTTTTATCTTCGTAAATTATGTAATTTTCTATATTAGCTTACTGATAACAATGTATAGAAACTTTCTAGAAAAAATAATATTGCAGTAAAAATACACTTAAAGGAGATACGAGCTTCTTATGAGTCCATTTTTTGGAGTGTCCGGATATTTCAGTCTCAGTATTCTAATTTGAAAACAAAAAAGAAAGAAAAATTTTCTCCTGAAATATCTATTTTCTCCGACTTTATACATGCTTCAATGTTATTAGAACGCTATAGTCCACAGTTAATAATCAAGTGTGACTTTATATTATAGCCATGCAAATACGTTACCGTATTATAAACACGAATAGGTGAAAATTCATCATGTCAAAAATAAATACTCCTACTTTTAATACATATATAAATGGTAACCGATGAATACTAATAAAATGAATTAAAAATTGTTGTAAAAGACGAAACTTACATCGCTATCTTCCAAATAACCATAGACGTCTAATTTGTCCAGCCTAAGAGTTCCTTGGAACGGCAAGAATCTCCTTCCTCGGGGTATTTTTTCGTTACTCCACACACAAACCCTAAGCTCATAAGCATGACTGACCTTTCTGTCCAAGGATGAGATCAGAACCAGACTAAACTCGGCCGGAATCAAAACACATGTTTCCATTGCTAGACCTTTCATCAGGAGAGTGTATCATTTAATCAGATACGAATTACAGCATGTCAACGATCATCGCCTCGAAAATTGCTGGAAAGGGGACGATTGGTCACTCTAATAAAGACTGCAGTAAGTCCTAATGTAAGAGAAAAAGCCAGCACGTGTAGTCTCTTTCTTCATCCCGGTTGATCTGACGGTATGCCACAGTTCATCTGAGTAAGCAACAGGTGTCAGTACCTGGCCGATAGATGGCGTACTCTTCCAACTGAGGGAGTGTCTTCTCAGATCTTCTCAAGTGGGTGTGGCCGTGACCCTGTTAGATCAAAACAGCACCAGGCGGAGTGGCAGCGAAAGCAAGTGGCCAGAAGGGCCAGAAGGCATACCGCTCGAGATTCGAAGCAGCCTTGACAAACTAGGACAGTGTTAATCAACGCGTGCTCTGCTTACTCGTCATTTGCACGAATTCATCAGAGTCGACTGATTAAGATTTTGTGGTTTCACTCCTTTGTTGCCTTCTGTTTTTTTTTCTCTCATTTGTTTTTCTTTCAAGGCTATTACATCAGATAGCGACATTTATCCAGCTTGGGTTGGCTGTAATCTGTATCCTTCGTTAAGCTCCAACAGGGCGGGGCACTTTTTTTTACATTTATTTCAGGTTGAGAAAATTATGTGGCCTACTACAAATTGTCTGTCTTCTGTTCACGTATAACATCCAACTTTCAGAAGAAAATGTTCAGATGACCTCATTCAATCACTAAAATCAAATTACTGTTATCGTATTAAGAATTAGTTTTCTTTTTATCCCAGCCTTATAAATTTTATAATAATGACAGTTAGTAAAATTTTGATTCATTTATATAAAACTCCATTAAAGGAGTTTTCTATTTAGTTTGCACATTGTTTTAGTCAGGATAATTCATTCAGTGTATACATTGTTTTAGTCAGGATAATTCATTTAGTGTATACATTGTTTTAGTCAGATTAATTCATTTAGTGTATACATTGTTTTAGTCAGGATAATTCATTTAGTGTATACATTGTTTTAGTCAGGATAATTCATTTAGTGTATACATTGTTTTAGTCAGGATAATTCATTCAGTGTATACATTGTTTTAGTCAGATAATTCATTTAGTGTATACATTGTTTTAGTCAGATTAATTCATTTAGTGTAAACATTGTTTTAGTCAGATTAATTCATTGTTTTAATCAGTATAATTTATTTAGAGAAATATGAAGATTTAATACAAAAAATTGTGCGATGAGCGCAATTAGTTGCAAAACGATATGCTTTAATGCCCGGTTTTGAAAAACAGCACATGAAAACATCAGTTCTACTTACTTTCATGTTTCTCAAATGCGCTCGTGCAACAGGCACATGTCTGAGGTAAACACTTTTAACAAGGAAATACTTCTCTGAACCTTTGTTTTTGTAAATTTAGGTCATGCGAACATAGGTTACCCGACATCCTGTATTGTAGTGGCAAATAAAAAAGGTAGTCCTTTTTTCGTTTCTGAAAATAAAGCAATTCGAAAAATTCTGGATCTGGAAACTGATAAATGGGGAAATTTAACACCTCTTTTGTAATTAAGCTACAATGATGCTGATTTCACGTTTTTGGTTTTCTGAGATGAAGTTGCTTTAAATACACTGGTAATAAACTTGTTAGCTATTTGATTAATAAAATGGTGGAGACGACTTGTGAGAGAAAATAAAACTAGCGTAAACCTCTGCTCTGCTTATGGTATCCGCCCCCGAATGGCACAGCGGTATGTCTGCGGACTTACAACGCTAGAAACCGCTAGCGTTGTGAGATGTGGTGGGCAGAGCACAGATAGCCCATTGTGTAGCTTTGTGCTTAACTTCAAACAAACACACAAAGCTTATGATATCCAAGTTTCTGAAACAATAAAAAAAAGATTTCGGATTCAGTGTGAAATTTCTGAAACCTTCCAACTGGGACCTCCTGCAACAAAAACATTGAAAAGATCGTCTCAATAAAATGATTATACTATTACCATTTATTTTCTATAAAGTACGGAATAAACGTTATAAAATAAGAACTTGGTGCTATAAACAGAATGGGTTAATATTGTCTTCTGCTGTAAAGAAATGAATGGATTTATCTTTTATTATTGCTTTAATCAAATTCTAGAAGTGCAATATAATATGCACACATGAGCTAAAAACGGCCAATTCAGAGACCCATAGGGTTTAGGTACAGTTGACTCTAATTTTGAACAACTGACCAGAAGGAAGGCAGCAAGCTAGGAATACTTGCCGCCTGAAATGCTTTGAATCGAATGAAAAAATTGACTGTTACATTTTTAAACGCCTCCATAGCTGATAGTGTGGAGTGCGTTCGGCGGCATTAAGTCCCGAATCTCCTACCTTTCGACTCTCTAACCACTTCTCCACGCCTGGCCTCTATAAATAAATAAAGATGGATATTTTAAACTGACTCTATTTACTTACTTTTCGGCATACCATATACTATTTTGATTGTTTTACGCGACAGGGTATGTCTATTATAAGAATGCAGGTGAAAGTCTAATTTTGTTTATTGATTTGCTCAAGATGTTGAAAAGTGCTTTTCTAAGTAAGTTATTCACACCTTCACTGTAATTTACAATTCTCTCAATACTTTTGAAAGATAATAAAATACAACTTATAACTTCTTAACAACCTTCGTACAAAAAGCATTCTGTGTAATAATACCCCAATACCCACGACGTCGATATGCTGATTCTGAAGTACCGTGCAATAATGTAAGTATTTTGAAAAGTTTTTAATAAGTTGTATGTTCGTGTGTGTGTTTTTCTGAAAACTTGAACCTTTAGGTGTCTTGTATACGTATGTTTGTCTAAGAACTTAGTCCTTAGGGTATCGTATATATATATGTATGTTGTTTGTCGAAGAGTTGTTTGTTTGTTAAAGTGCAAAGCCACATTAGACTATCTACTGTGTCTACCGCGGGGAATTGAAGCCCGGATTTTAGCGTCGTAAGTCCGTAAACCTACCGCTGCCCCATTCCACTGGGGGATTTGTCTAAGAGCTCAGAAGTTCGCTGGATCAAATTATAGGCATGATGATATAAGAGCTAAGAACTTCCGGTGTAATTTGTGTTTGTCTAGGAGTTCCAACCTTCATCTTGTCGCAAATTTTTGTCCTTCTAAGAGTTCAAAGCTTTGCGCGTTGTATATATTTATGTTTGTCTAGGATTTCAGATTTTTACGGAGGTTAAAACACGAAACTGAATGACCACAATCGAGAGTGCTTGTCGTATTTCACACTAATCATAGATGATTGCCATTGACTTTTGCTGATTTTTAGGTAAAAGCAAGTTTTTTAAGATATTTATTTATATAGTTGAACCAAGGCGACCCAATTCTTGCGTAATGACGATACGTAAGTTGAAAATTTATTTATATAGTTGAACCAAAGCGACCCAATTCTTGCGTAATGACGATACATAAATTGAAAATTTATTTATATAGTTGAACCAAAGCGACTCATTTCTTGCATAATGACGATACGTAAATTGAAAATTTATTTATATAGTTGAACCAAAGCGACCCAATTCTTGCGTAATGACGATACGTAAATTGAAAATTTATTTATACGGATAGATCGTAAATAGACCATTTTCTTTTTTCATACTCCCACAACTGCATATGTTTTTTGAAATAACAAATGAAGTTGGAGAGTTCGACGATTGTTTAGAAACATATGATCTATCTATCTGTCTGTCGCTCCGTCTGTCCTTCCGCCCATCCATTTATTTCTCTATTTTTTAGCAGGTATTATAATGTTAGTTTAATGTGTGTTTTTCTTTTAGCAAAGCCACATCGGGCGATCTGGTGTGTCCACTGAGGGGAATCGAAGTCCTGATTTTAGCGTTGTAAATCCGTAGACTTACCGCTGTTCCAGCGGGAGACGTTAGTTTAATTTTCAGAAAATGGCACAGCCTTAATTGATATCTCAAAAGTTTTTTATTTCTTTATTTAGTAGGTTGTGCATAAATAGTTTATCAAGATAAATTCAACTAATCCTCTTCAAGGTTCGTGAAAGAGATTTAAAACAAACTAAAACTTTTATCATTATTCCACAAGAAAAAAAAAAATCTTGTTGAAAATAATTTTCCCAAATCTTAAGAATCAACGTATGACACTGATTTTTTTTTAGCCTTGACACAGTTCTTGTTAATTTTCTATTTTTATTTTTCACAAACACGTCTATTTCTCTTTCTGAAACTTGTTTGTTATAAAAGTTTATCTGATGGGCGTGTGCCATGTATGAATTAAAATGTGGGTTGTATTAAAAACAGAACAGACACATCGCTGTAAACCATGTTAGTTGTTAACGAAATCTAAATTCAAATACCTTGAACTGGATGGTTAGAGGAAATAAGATAAACATTAATCACTGAAGAGAATACGAAATGAGTATTATGTTATATATGTATGTATATATGTATATACTGTGTATGATAAGCAAAGCGGGATATCAACATAGATCTTTATTATTTTTTTTATTTTCATAAATATCAAAACCAAATAGGCGTTTACATTCAATTGAAAACTGAAGATGCTATGACAGAAACTGCCACAAAGCTGCTTCTTCCCGGTTGTTTAACTGTAAGTGTAAGGGCTTATAACGCTAAAGTTCAGGTATCGATACCCACGATGAGTAAAGCACAGAAAGCCCATTGCGTAAGCCACAAATCTAATGTGTTCAGATTAGGGTCTGAAGCGCCATCTGTGAATAATTACTCAAACCATTTTCGAAAAATAGTTTGTTTCGAACACGCTGTGGATATTCAGAGCATCATTGGACTAGAAGTTAGTAGAAGTTAAACGTAAATGTCTATAAATAAAGAAATAATATAGCGTTCAGTACTTCGGAGAATTCTATAAAGCAGAACATAAAAACTTTAGAAACTTAAAAAATAATTTTTATTCGTTACTGGTTTGGAATATATAAATGTTCTTTAGGCTAAAACTATAACATTTAACAACCCGGAAAACACACATAGAGAACAAAATTGTATAC